GGTTTCCTTCAGCACTCCTCTCATCTTTCCAGTGATTCCTCATTCTGAGCACCAAAATCTACTTAAATCAGTGTGGATTAGATTGCTTTACTCAGGTGGAGTAGTTTTCATTCATCTTTGTCTTCTCAGCCAACTTTAAAAAGGTAATAGAAAATGACCTTACACAACTGCTTTCCTTACCCAGTTTCATTCCTATTCTTTGAGGCTGCAGTCAGCAGTTTGCTTCTGACTAGATTTGAGCAAGTCAGTAGCAGGCCACATAACAGAGCTATACAGACTCACACAAATACACAATTGCACCTAGCATAAGTAATGCAGTGCAACTCCCTATTGTGGGCAAGGTTATTCTAGTATAAAAGTGTAGGCCATGAGAAAGAGAATGATGTTATAATATAGTGGTGCCCAACCATCTGGCCCTACAAGCTGGATGAATGGCATGGGATTGGTTCATGGGTCTATGTGCAGGGTCAGTCTGTGGGTGTGATCCCACATGATGGCTAATGACCCTACACACATGGATGCAACTACCTGATGTTACTGTGAGCTGGCCTAGCCCCAAGCACTGGATGCAGCTGTGCACCACCCTGAATCCTCATACTGGATGCAGTTGTTGGCTGGATGTGGCTGCACATTGGCCTGACCTGCGTGCCCAGATCCATCCATGGAACAATCCTATGTGCCAAGGCAGAGCCTTATTACCTGGCTTGCAGAGCTCTCTACATATCTAGAAATCTGACATCAGGGGAGTGGTAATTAATGCTGCCACTGCTCCCCCACTGCCAAATATCCAGACCCATAGAAAGCCCTGAGATATGACATGGCCTAGTAGGAGGGATCTAGACCATGAGCCAGAGGTTGAGCACTACTGTTATAATGCACTTTTTATACTAGTGTAGTTGCAGCTGTGCTACAGGGTTCTGTTGGTACAACCATATCAAAAAGAAAAGAGCCCACATACCTAATCAGCATAATAATAAAGGTAAAGATCCTGAGTGTGGATCAGGTACAAGAGAAGAAAATATGTAAAGGAAAGGTAGTAACATGCCATGTCGTATAAGCCAGAGTGATGGGAACAAGGATATATGTACTAAACTAGGCTTGATTTTATCAGAATGAAGGTACAATGGACACTTAAAGGTCTAACAGGAAGTGGGCATGGTATTGCACTGGGAAGGAATAGTGAAAGAGAAACTTTAGCAAACTATATTACAGAAGTTAGGGGGGCTTTGGGGATGTTAATAAGCCTAATTTATTTACATCCTAAAAGTCAATTTTAATCAAAGAAAATCTACTGCTATAATTTTGCAATAATAATCCAAATAGGACTTGTTTTAGGAATAAACTATCTGGCCTCCAACACTGTAATGTATCCACTTGACCCAGATTATTGTTGGCTCATCTTCTCTGTAATCCCTCAAGCAAGCACTACCTACAAATATTCAAAAGAACACAGTATATCCTCTGAGCAGACTCTCTGCTCCCTCCTTCCTAGGGAGAGGTGCCCCTCTTTATCCCTCCTGCTAACAAAAGAGCACTTAGAGAAGGCCTTTACTTGTGCAAAAATCTCCACCTTTCCTCTCCTACCTCCCAGAACAAGGCCGGTTGTTCTTTCTGAATGGTGGTAGCTAATGGAAAGAAGGGTATACATTGAAAGACACAGGGGCTGCATCCACACATGGTGTGGATGTTTGGTTCCCCAGGGACAACTAGTGGCAGTACAAGGCATGCAGGAAGGTACCCTGGGGACAGTCAGGGAGGCTGGACCAACAGTCTTACCTGGGGTCCTGGAGGCCTCCTGTGGATTCAGCAGTGGTAATTCTGCCACTTGGAGCCTGGCTGGCAGCTGCAGCACAGCTCTGGGTAGCCTGGCCCCACTTTTGAACAGTACATGCTGCCCTTGCATATGCTGCTCCACCTTTTTTCTCTGGAGGTTTTTTTGACCCCTGGATATCCAGTGATCAAAAAAACCCCTCCATGCTGCTCCTTTGTAGCACAGAGAACAATTGAACATGTGGTATGTGGCGCTGTGAATGTGTTTGCTGCTCCACATATCACACAGCTATACTCTTCTGGATGCGGTCAGGCAGTGCATTTACATGTGCAATTAAAATGAAACAAACTCTAGAGTAGTTTGAGCTCGAGTGAACTCCTCTTGAGTGCAGTGTTTACACAGGCACCCAGGACCCAGCAATTTGAGCTGAGGCGGAGCAAGCCCCTGGTTGGCTGGGCTGACTGGGTGCCATTTATGCCCGTGGTTAGTCTCTGTACATGCATTGCAGTGCAGCAAATTACCCCGCCATAAGATAGTACTGTCCCCAACAGTACTATTTTATTGCAGAGTTAATTAGTTTACTGTGCTCTAATACCAGCACATGTATAGATGGTGATGCTTCACTGTGTAGCTAATTAGTCTACTCTGCAGGAAAGCACGTGTGTAAATGCATCCAGGGTGTAGTAGTTACACTTTGGGTTGTAGTGTGGGAGGAACTCTCATGTTTATCTGGTTTGTTTTGTATTTCTGGATGAGACTACAGCACTGGACTAACTAGAGCAATTGTTATATTAGCTATTTTAAGTCCCAGTAGCAGTCCAGCAATGCAGCAGGAAGTTCAATGCTGAACACAGGAGTTGCAGCCAGATGAGCACAGCTGTATGGTATGTGGCACTGCAAACATGTCTGCAGCACCACATATTGCACATTTAGATGTTCTCTGCACTGCAAAGGTGCATTGCCTGTGTGTGCGCTGCTCTGCTTTTTCTCCATTTTTTCTCTGCTTTCTATTTCTGTGGATTTTTTTGACCCCTAGGTATCCAGGGGTCAAAAAAAACCCACAGAAAAAAAAGCAGAGCAGTGCACATATAGGCAGCGTGTGCTGCTCAAAAGCAGAGCCAGGCTGCCCAGTCACACTTCAGCTGCCGACCAGGCTCTGTGCCGCAGAATTGCCACTGCGGCAGCCTCAGGAGACCCCCCAGGACCCCAGTGCTGGCCCCAGCCTTCCCTACTGCCCCCAGGGTAACGTGCCATGCGCCAAAGCACATGTGGCATGGGCGTTCCACAGAGACAAGTGGTGGCACTGCACCTTGTGCCACTGCTACTTGCCCCTGAGAACCAAACATCTATGCTTGTCTGGATGCTAGGCCTGCACGAGTCAGCAGTGATCCGATCCGGCTTCGGATCTGGCCACTTCAAATGGCCACGACCCGATCTGGATTTCCAGACCAGATTTCCACCTTGATCCAGCTGAAGCAGCTCCCAAGCTTCGGAGCCACCTCAGAGATCCAGCCAGAGGGTATAATAGGGAATCAATTAAATATCTATAACGTTCTTGCTTTTTGTCTGATGTGGATGAAACATG